TGGATGACATCTTGCTTGCCACTAATGATATAGGCATGTTGCACGAAACCAAGAGATTTCTATCAAAGAATTTTGAGATGAAAGATCTTGGGGACGCCTCTTTTATATTAGGGATCCAGATACATCGAGATCGCTCTCGGGGTATTCTTGGATTATCACAAAAGAGCTATATCGATAAGGTACTTAAAAGGTTTGGCATGCAAGATTGCAGACCAGGTGACACCCCTGTTGCTAAAGGAGACAAGTTTAGTCTCAATCAGTGCCCTAAAGGTAACCTTGAAATTCAGGAAATGCAGAAGATTCCTTATGCTTCGGCTGTAGGAAGTCTAATGTATGCTCAGGTATGTACGCGTCCGGATATTGCGTACATTGTTGGGATGTTAGGCAGATACTTAAGCAACCCTGGTATGGATCATTGGATAGCAGTCAAAAGGGTTATGAGGTATCTTCAGAAAACAAAAGATTACATGCTCACATACAGAAAATCAGAGAAATTAGAGGTCATTGGGTATTCGGACTCTGATTTTGCTGGATGCCAAGATAGCAGGAAGTCTACATCAGGCTACATTTATATGTTAGCAGGAGGAGCTATATCATGGAAAAGTGTCAAACAAACACTAGTAGCTTCCTCCACTATGGCAGCAGAATTTGTAGCTTGCTATGAGGCATCCAATCAGGGAATATGGCTGCGAAATTTTGTCACGGGACTGCGCATTTTGGAAAATGTTGAAAGACCACTAAGGTTATATTGTGACAATAAATCTGCAGTAATGTATTCCAATAACAACAGGAGCTCAACTAAGTCAAAACATATTGACATTAAGTTCCTGGTTGTGAAAGAAAGGGTACAGAGTGGACAGATATCCATAGAGCACATTGGGACAAACTCCATGTTAGCTGATCCTCTTACTAAGGGATTGCCACCTAAGGTCTTTCATGAGCATACTGCTCATATGGGTGTGGTATTATTTGAGGATATTATGTTTTAGTGGGAGTTTGTATTTGTGGTGCTTTATGTTTGTTTGTATTGTCTGATCAGAATAAAGTTTTCAGTTAAGACACTCTGTTACATTATGTTTGGTTTTGACCTCACTAAGGAGGACCAGTTGAAAATAGACATGTACTGATCACATTGCATGTAATTTTCATGCTGCACATCCATGATTGATCTATGTCATTTGATTGTATTGGTATATGTGACCATTGATGGGTCGAGTCACGATAAATGTGACGAAGGCCGCTTTGATCCTATATTGATATAGTCAATGGACGAGATTGTTCGGAAATACCATTTCAATGATAGCAATTTTTGAGCTCATAAGGTTATACACAGTTTAAGGAATCATATGGTGCCCAAGTGGGAGATTGTTGGATTTAATCTAATAAATCTATTTGTGGGCACATATGATTAATCAATGTGTATTGCTATCTTTAGGATAACCCACTAAAGTGATCAAATAAGTTGGGTTAATTTGGTATTTAAATAAGTCATGGGGTTATATGTGCAGATACCAGGTTGTAATTGTAATTTATTGTGGGGCTAAATTACAAAATTACAACATCTATAAATAAGGGGTTATGGTCCCTAACCTAGGGTTACATTCTCTAATTCTCTTCACCCCCATCTAAGAGAGAAATTCGGCTAAGGAGAAAACCCTAAGGTTAGAAGATCCAAAACCCAAAATCAAGATCAAGCAATGGATTCAGGTATAAGCTTCCGCTCTTTTAGATCCTTGTTAATCTCTTTGAATTAATCATGGCTATATGGTTTTAGATCTCAAGTTTTATGATGTAGATATAACACAGAATCCCTTCACCATCTTTAAAAGCTCAACACTCCAGAAAAGAGATTAACCAACAAGCGAAAAAGTTGACGTAGGAAAAAAAGCTCACTTCTCCTACTCTTGTGATTTGACAATTCAGGAGCTGAAGTTGTCAGAGAGAACTGCAGGTAAACAATAAACTTTGGAATGTGGATAAAATCTAGCAAGTTGCCCTTTGATTTGACAAGTAAACATACTCTGCGAGCAGTTGACAGTTTTGAAGATGATCTTATATTGTTTTGAACTTGCTTCTGGATTAAAAATAAGCTTTAATAAGAGTATTCTTATTGCTCTTGAGGATAATGAAACTTTGCAACAGAATTTGGCTATTATGTTGAATTGCAAAAGTGGGAGTTTCCCCATTACTTACCTTGGAATTCCTTTGAGACCTGGAAAATTAAAAAAAGAAGACTGGTCTCCTTTGATTGAGAAGATAGAAAGAAGGCTAGCCTTGTGGAAAGGAAAGTCTTTGTCAAGAGGGGGCAGACTTGTTTTAGTCAATTCTGTTCTTTCATCTATGCCAATTTTTTGGCTGTCTTTCTTTGTTTTTCCTATGTGGCTTATTGACAAAATTGATAAAATGAGAAGGAGATTCTTGTGGACTGGATCTCTTGATCATAAAGGCTCTTCTAATTTGGTCAAATGGGAGGAGGTTTGTAGACCTAAAAATTTTGGAGGTTTGGGTGTAATAAATTTAAGAGTTATGAACAAAGCTCTGTTGGGGAAATGGCTTTGGAAATGGTTTGATAATAAACTGGAACTTTGGAAGCAAATCAGTTTCTACAAGTATTTTGAGAGAAAAAATTGGACAGAATTTTTTTATTCTGGTAGGAATTTATTAACTCAGTTTTGGAGAAATTGTTTTGATAATGTTGAGAGTTTTTTATGCAGTTCTGTTGTGGAGGTGGGGAGGGGTAATCGAACTTTGTTTTGGCTTGACAAATGGGTAGGTTCTTCTACCCTTGCTTCTAAGTATCCTTCCCTTTTTAACATCACTTCTTCTCCTTTTGCCTCCATTAGCAGTTTGAGAAAGAAAGTGAATGATGAATGGATATGGAATATCCAGTTTAGAAGGCAATTGACTGGAAATTTGGTTTTCCAATATTTCAAATTGTTGAATGATATTAGAGAGTTAATCTTTGATCAAAGGGAGGACAGGAGGATATGGTTTTGGGGAACTAAAGGCAGTTTCACAGTTAAATCATATTATCAGTTTCTTATGGATGGGGGTTTAAGATTTGATTGTGCAAATCTCTGGCAGCTTCCTGTCCCTTTAAAGGTGAAATTTCTTGTTTGGTTGGCATTAAGACAAGGTTTAAATACAAAAGATAATTTAGAGAAGAAGGGAATTCATCTGGATTTGATGTGCAGCTTCTGTTCTAAAGAAGTGGAAAGTCATTTTCATTTGTTTGTGGAGTGTGAGTTTGTATACTCTATTTGGAGATCTATCCAATATAAATTGAAGATTGCAAAGGATTTTAGATTGAACTCCCTAAAAGAGATTTGGATTAATTGGTTTATGGGAGAAGATGATAACAGTAAGGTGGAAAGACATGTTACTATCTGTTCTCTTATATGGTGTATTTGGCAGGAACGTAACGATAGAATCTTTTCTAACAAAAGGAAGAGATCCCTGGAGATTTTGAGCAAAATTTTGACATTTTTATCATTTTGGTTAGGTTCTAAACCTATAACTGCGCGAGCTGCTAGGCTTCAAGAGAGGAGAAGGAAAAGAGCTGCTGAAGGACATGTCGATGCTGGAGGAATTGCGAGTACAGTGATTCAACTTGAATGATTCTTAACTCCAGATTCTTGAAGTTTTTTTGGTTCTTGAGTTTTAAAACTCTGGTTAAAGATACAGTGATCTGCTATTTTGTTTTGGTAGTAGTTGATAGCTTCTTCTTTGCTTTGGGAAAGGATAATCCTATGTTGTGGAGCAGGAGTTCTTTTGATTTGTAATTTTTGTTTGAACTAGAGTACACACTCTTGGTTGGGGGTGTGTATCTGTTTGTAACAACCAAGTTTTATTATTAATTTAGCTGGCTGAATTACTGTTATGATTAACAGTAATTCATCCTTTTTCTCAAAAAAAAAAGTAAACATACTCTGCATCACATCAAAATTGCTTGGTAAGACTATCTCCAGCAGGAGTCGAAATTTTAACCTTCTCTCTCCTGCCACATCACTTTATTCCCCCTCCACATAATTCAACAATCTTCATTTTCTATCATCTCTACAGTAGGAGTTTTTTCAAAAGATTTTTACTTTATTTGGGACCCACTATAACCCCATCACTCCAACATATATACCCCACCTTATTTATTCATTTCTTTTTCTTATTTCATATATATTACTACTACTACTATTATTATTACTAATATAACTCATTTATTTTGTGAAGGATCATAAGGTGTTGAAAACTCAGATTTTTTTTGGTGTCCAAATTACACAAGACTAATCTCTATTTATAGAGGTGAAAAAATAAAAATTATTGATATAAAAATTATAAATTAATTCCTAGTATTTATCTCCCAAAATATCATTTAAAAATTAAGAATAAAACAAAAAAGGCCAACCAACCAAGCCTTGACACATGGCTCCAAGCATGGGCTAAGGACAATTCGCGGGACCCATGAGGTTAGAAAAACCAGAGGTGAAAAATTCACCCATCCGATTTCGGTTTTCCAATTCACCCCTCCAAAAACCCCCTGCTGGAGCCAAAAACCCCCCAAAAAAACCCCTGCTGGAGATAGTCTAAGGGGTGTTTGTTTCAACTCCTATAATTTTAGGATATGGATTTCACCATGGGATTTGAAATCCATAGGTGATTTGTTATGGGTTGGGATTCCTAAAACTTTGTTTGTTTCAACAATATTTTAGGATTTGAAATACTATAATTTATAATATTTTATTTGTTTTAAACTCAAATTGTAGCATTACAAATTTCGGAATTTGAAATTCATAGTTGTAGCAAACAAGTTTTAGAATTACCAAAATAATAAATGGTGAATATAAGAACTTTGGTGAGCTTACCTCTCACAAAAAAACAAATACAATTGTATTCAATTGGGGTAAGCATACCCATTCAAATTTATACTCCAACGGCTATAAACGGGCCTAAACTAACACGAAACAATGTAAATAATAAAATTCAAAAATAAATGATAACATAGAGGCTCATAAAATGGTCATTTTATTTTCAACACATATATAATGACATTACATTGCAGATTGCATTCGAATAATAGACTGCATTCTCATTAATGAACGCCTCCTGTAAACAATGAAATCTCATTGTAGTCGGTAATATCAATATGTGACCAATCATCATAGCTAACTCCGAAAAACTCAAAAAACCCACTTATATCCTGTAAACAATGAATTCATTAGCTCAAAAATACTCGAACAAACACCCCCAAATGAATTTTGCAACAGCTCAAGTAACCATGAGCTCACAAGCAACCAAGTAACCAACAGCGAACACCTAACCAGCAACAAACAAGTAACCATGAGCTCACAAGCAACGATTACTAACAGAGGAATCCGTAAAATTTACACTAACCTGGAACTTAGCATTTTGTTGACGGTTAATATATGCAACTAGCTCCTCTTGCCTCATTAATGCTTCATGTAAAGCCTCCTCAGGCAAAGTATTTACAGAGTGAGCATAAACATGCATGAATCATGATCATTAGGAATATAAACATATGCATCCAAAATCACAAAATCACAATTATTAGGTAAAAATGGTTATCGCTCTTACTAAAACGGTATAAAAACAATATATTCATTGATAATGTACTTATCATTGGCTGTTCAATATCAGTATATCACACAAATTGCGACCATAAGAAAGTGAGGGCTCCCTGCAGTGAGAGTTCGGAAAATAGAGTCATATTCTCAAGTGAGAAAGATCTTGTTAAGTACATTCAGATATGCTTGGAAATACACATCATAAAGGTTAGCCCTCACTTCTATTGTGATGAATGTTTTATTAAAACTAACATGTGAGATAACTATCAGATTCAAATTAGATTTTGCTACTCACTATAAGTAGGGGAGAAATCGACAACATTCATACATTATCTCCAAATCCAATGGGATGTTGGTAATTATCAATAAATACTAATAATGAATGTAATAATCTGAATTCATAATGCACATTTGCTAAATATAATAATAATAATAAATATAATAATCTGAATGCCCGTGAAAATATGTAATCAGCATAAAATTTTCAAAAAACATAGCGTACTTTCTTCTTCAAAAACAATGGGTGGCTTAACAATCTAACTATTATGACTCAGGTATCAACCAGTCAGTCAAATTTCCCAACATCATACAGAAATTCAGACTAAAAATCACTATTTCCACAGAGCACAACAAAATATTTCGAGAATTGTAATGATTTACATGTTGAAGCGCCCTTAACATTTGACATCCTAAAACCACAAGAATAACAGAAAACAATTAAGATCGCATCTCATACTAGATTACAAGAAGAGAAACAATTGAGAGAAAAATAAATTACCATCAAGAAGGAATTGGGGGATTGGACGAGGCGCTTGAGTTTGTGCCTCCTCTTCTCGAGCTCCACCCGAGGATTCAACAGATCAATGTCATTCGGAAGAACCTAGCAACGATCAGATTGAGGAAAGATGTTACCATTTTTTGACGAACAAACTCTATAAAACTTTTTTGACGAAGAGGGAGATGTTACCATTTTGGATGTTGCGACGAAACCCTAGAAACGACGGTCGTTCTCTCAACCAGAGCAGAGAAGGGAGAGCGGGTTAGGAGAGGAGAGAAGAAAAAAAGAAATTCCAATAAGGCGGCGGAAGATTTTGTAGCGGGAAGAGGAGGCGGCAGGCCTGATTTCGGGGCGAGAAGAGGAGGTGGAAGTTATGGATTGGCAGCGGGAAGAAGCAGTGACGGGTCTAGGGTTTTGGTTTGAGCTGAGATAAGGCGTTGTTCGTTTGGCAAAAAAATTTGGGAAATCAAAGAATAGGAAACCTATTTCCTATAATAATTGTTTTGATGTTGTTTGGTTGGCTTAAAAAAGAAGGAAATTATAGAATAGGAGATGAGATGAGATGAGTTGTCACCTTATTATTGGATGATGTGAGTGATTTTTAAAAAAACTTGTTTTGAGGTTGTTTGGTTGGTTAAAAAAATAAGAAAATGAATTGGAGGTATATTATTGGATGATGTTTTGAGGTTGTTTATGTTTGGTTTATTTTTAAAAATAAGAAATTAGATGAGATGAGATGAGTTGAAGGTATATTATTGGATGATGTGACACATACTTAAAGAAATCAATTTCTTTTTTTTTTTAAGGAAATGGATGGAAAGGAAGGTTTAATGAGATGAGATGAGTTGTCACAATATTATTGGATGATGTGTGTGATTTTTAAAAATGAGATAAGATGAGATGTGATGAGTTGGATGATGTAACATGTTTCTTGTGTTTGGTTTATTTTTTAAAGCAAAAAACACATAAATACACATATACACCCACCACTCACCACCCACCCGTGTGCGCACACAAGGCACATACGTGTGCACCATGCATGCATGAATGCACACATGCATGCACAAACAGACACACCCATGCACGCACATGTACATACACATGCACTTTTACACATGCATGCATGCACCGACATACACACACACACACAACACTTGCGCATGCACTTTATATGTTGGTGACTCACAAAATTACAGGAATAATCATTAGTCAAATCTAACGTTTATGTCTACCTACCTAATAAAGAAATTAGAGAATCTATGTCACTTCTTTCTAATTTGTGTCTTCCTTTTACTACTATGATCCTAAATTTAATATCTTTTAAAACAATTATACAAAAGATATGTATCAACCATGAATTTCAAATCTTACATGAACTAAGCATTCTAACCTATAGACCTGAAGATCTAAAAGTAAATGGCTTGCAATGGCCTTAAAGGTTAATTATTTTGATTTGTTTAAATTGTAGGATAATTTTCGCAGCACGTGATTTTTTGCTTTCTTAGATCATGTGTGGTGAAGCTTTACTTATTACTTATTTTTAACTTATAGGTAGGAAAAATAAGCCGGGTTCTCCAACTTATTTTTTGGCTACTTACAAGTAGATTTACTTATTGATGTTAAAAGACTATCTTGCGCTCAGACAGAATAAGTAAAAATAAGCAATAACTTATAAGCAATCATAACATAAGTAGTAGCCAAACATGTCCTTATTTTTTATAATATATAGATCATGATGAATTGATGATCAGTTAAGGATGACCTAATGTGTATTTTTAAGATGAATGTGAAACTTTTTTACACCATATATTTAATATAACCTTAATGTGTATGTGTGTACTTATGTTCCTTCTTATATGTGTGCATGTGATTTTTTCTGGCGCGTGTGGATATCTACAAATGTGTGATTGTGTGTGTCTGACATGTGTTTCTGTATACATGCACTCACGTATAGTCGCTCTTGCCCAATGATGAACTTCCACCAGTATTTAAGCCTCAGATAGGCGTTTGCAGACCATACCGTTTAGAAAACACAACCATATGCACAAAATCTTTCTAGATTAATGTTATAGCTGCAATTCGAAAGAACAAACTAGTGTAGAATACTTACTTTACTGCACGAAAAACTCGGTAGGCAGCAAACCATTGATCTTTGTGTGTATTTTGGTATGTTTGTCTGATAAGTTCCCTTCTCATCTCACCAGATAAGTGGATCACCTGGTTCTTCAAAGCGAGAAATCTGAATTCAACGGGAATGCTTCAACATCATTCCTCATTCAACATAAGCTCATCAAGTTCAGGAACATAACCTTCCTCTTTCATCTCTATCCCCAAATCCTTTAGCATTTCATAGATATCAACAGCTCTCGGATGCAATTTATCTTCTGCAACAAATACATTTGTATTATTTCCTACCTCAATCCAACTACATCCAGGAGACTTTCTTACTCCCCTCTCCTTCATTGCATGTCTCAACCTTTTTGCTTCATCCCAATCGCCAGATGCAGCATAAATACTCGAAAGGAGCGAATAAGGAGAAGAACTATGAGGATCCAGGCTTATTAGCTTCTCAGCTGCTCGCTGTCCCCTTGTTTTATCTCCATAAATTCTACAAGCTGAAAGCATCGTGGCCCAAATAACACCATCAGGTTCAAAAGGCAGCTTGTCTATAAACTCCTCTGCCTGTTTAAGATAGCCTCCACGACCTAGGAGATCGATCATACAAGCATAATGATATGATCTTGGACCAATTCTATACTTATTAGACATAAGTTCAAAAAATCCACGTCCTTGAGATACTAATCCTGCATGACTACAAGCTGTTAGGACTCCTAGAAATGTGACATTATCAGGATTGATCTTTGATTCTTGCATCCGATGAAAGAGGAAGAGTGCTTCTTCAGCAAAACCGTTCTTTGCAAACCCAACAATCATGGGGTTCCATAAGATGATGTCTTGCTTATTATTTGATTCTTTAAATACTTGAAAAGCATGATCAACATCTCCACATTTTGAGTACATGTCAATTAGGGCGCTGACAGTGTATCTATAGGAACTGAAGCCTGTTTGAATGACGAGGCCATGAACCTCTTTACCATCTCTCAGAGAGGCTAAATCAGCACAGGCTTTTAGAATGCTAGAATAAGTTGCTTCATCTGAATGAACACTAAATCCCCTCATTTTAGAAAATAATATCAATGCCTCCTCACTATAACCATTCTGGGTATGACTTGAAATAATAGCTGTCCAGTGGACCTTGTTTTCACTTTTGGGCATTTCCAAAAAGAGCTTATTAGCATCCTCAAGGGACTTTGCCTTCAAGTATATGCTTAACAATGGTATCTCTGAAAAGGCAAAACCATATATAAGGCCAGACTTCAATAGATTACAATGTATTTGCTTTCCAATGTCTAATCCCCAAGGTCCATTACACGAAGCTAAAACACCTGTGAATGTGATTTGAGATGGCTCTACACCTTCTATCTTCATTTGACGAAACAAATCCAGGGCTTCTTGTTCCTTATTGTTCTGAGCGTGACCAGAGATTAGAGCATTCCATGAAGCCACATTCCTTTCTGGTATCTCTGTAAATATCTTATTTGCATCTTCCAATTCATCAAGCTTTGCATACAAATCGATAAGAGAACTTCCCACATAAGAACTTAAACCAAGATTGCACTTTATGGCTAAACAATGGAGCTGGGTTCCTTCATCAAAGGCCTGAGAGTTTGAGCATGCATTTATCACACTAGAAAAAGCAGCCTCATCAGCCATAGCCCCCTCTGATCTCATTCTCCGGAACAACCTAATTGCTTCGTCTTCCTCTTCATTATGTGTGTATCCGGATATAATTGCACTCCAAGAAATGTTATCCTTACTAGGGATAAGCTCAAATTGCTGCCTTGCATCATTTAGCTCTCCACACTTTGCATACATACCAACAACAGCATTCACTAAAAACAAATTTCCCTTCATATTCCTCTTTATCATATCACAATGCAACTGCCTACCTAGTTCTAGATTACCCAATGAAGCACAGGCTCCAAAGACATTAAGAAATGTGACCTTATCAAGCTCAAGTTCATGTCCTTTCATCTCAAAAAACAATCTAAAAACATTTACCAGCTGTTCGTTATGTAAATATCCCCCAATCATCGCATTCCACATAACGACATTCCTTTCGTTTGACATGTCAAAGACCCTCCTTGCATCTTCTATAAGATTACATTTGGCATACATGTTGATCAAAGAGCTCCCAACAAAAACACTTGAATCCAAACATAGCCTAATCGCCTCAGAATGGACTGCTCGACCATAATCAATAGCCATTAGACTCGCAATAGCACTCAAAACACTTCCTAATGTAGACCTAGTAGGCTTCACATCAAGTGCTCTCATTTCTCGAAACAGTTCAATTCCCTCATCTTCATGCCCAATTTGCACATGACGAGAAATAATAGCATTCCAAACCTCAACATTTGGCAAAGGCATCTCCCTAAATAAATCCCTTGCATTTTTCAATCTCCCAAGATCCATACAAGCATTAATAACAGTTGCCAATGCAACATTATCAGGCTTCATCCCTAAACCCTGCATTCTATGAAACAGTTGCAGGGCTTCTTCAGCCTTACCAATCCTAACATAACCCTCGATCATCGTTGTCCAAGAAATTATATCAGGGTACCCAGTGCCATTAAAAACACACCGAGCATCCAAAATACAGCCACACTTGGTGTACATATTAATCAAAGACCCCTCGCAAAATGGACTAGGCTCAAGCCCGAACTTTACAATTTGGCAATGTGCAACCTTGCCATAATCCAAACTATTCATTCTCGCAATAGCCGAGAGAACAATCGAGAAACTAAACTCATTGGGCAGAGTTCCATGCCTATGCATTGATGCAAATACTTCAAATACAGTTTCGAGAGAACCCACTTTCAAGTGGGCGGAGAGGATTGAATTCCACGAAGGCCGAGTTCTTTCCTCCAGGCGATTGAATGCATTTTGAGCAGAACACAGATCGCCGGATTTGGAGTAGAGGTCAACGAGGGCATTTCCGAGGCCACCAGAGAGTTTGAGACCGAGGATTAGGATCCGGGCATGGAGAACCTTGCAGATTGATGATGGATGGTTTCCTTTGGGAATTTCATCGAACGCGTGGTGGGCGCGGGAGAGGGCCAGGGTTTTGGAGCATTGTTGGAGGAGGAGATGGGTGTAGGTTTGAGGGTCTGAAGGGATTTGGCGTATTGGGCTAGGAAAATATGGGGGTTTTGGCGAGAGAGAGCGCTTCAGCTTTAAAATGGTCGATGATGATGATGATGATGGATTCATTTAAATGGGGGCATGGTTTTTGTTTTCGCGCTTGAACTCGTTTCTTCCGAACAATTTAGTCTCAGTATATATAATAATAATAATACTGAAATAAACACACAGATGTTAAAGTACTTTTATACTCGATTTCATGCTAACTAGTTTTTTTTAATTATTATTTCTTTTTTAGGGGCTGTTTGGTTGATTACCTAGAATCAAAGAAAAAGAAATAGGATAAAGATATCACCAAAACTTGTGTCACATGCTATTTTTTAATTATTATTTCTTTTTTAATTATACTAGTTTTATACTCGATTTCATGCTAACTAGTTTTTTTTAATTATTATTTCTTTTTTAATTATTACATCTATTTTTTCAAAAAAAAGTCATGAAATGAGTTTCCTTAAAATTGTGTCACATGCTCCAATAAGATGATAACAACTCACCTCATCTCTTCTATTTTCTTACTTTTGAGAGTTTGACCAAACAAAAAAAAAGCCCAATTATAGAAAATAGGTTTCCCATAATAGATTTTCTTTTTTTTTAAATCAACCAAACATCCCCTTAAGGGAAACAACGAACTTTTCGTACTTGGATCATTTCTTATGAAATGCCGTGAGAAATAATCTAGTTAGTCCAAAAGAAGCACAACTTAGGATTTTTCAATATGCACAAATATGTCAATTAACATTTTTTATGCACAGGTATGTCAATTAACATTTTTTATAAAGATTTTTACCCTGATTGTTGATTAAATATAGGAAAATTTGTGTTAAGGCCGCAAAAGTTGAAAATACATGTGACTAACCCCTTTCAACTTTTTCCCATGTGTTCTTAGCTCTAAAAACTCAAATTAAATGTGGTTCAGCTCCTTCATGTCAACTACGTACACTTTGTATATTGTATTTACCCCAAAATTTCAAATTTAACCCTCCTTTCATTCTCCACCCACCAAAAAATCCCATAATCCTAACCAGATTTAAGACCTGGAAAAATTAAAAATCCATGTGACTAAACCCTTTCAACTTTTTCCAGCGTGCAAGAGCCCTAAGAGGAGCTCCAATCGTCCGCTTTTTCTGCATTTTGGAGCCGCTAATCCATCCAACCGAACTGCATATTTTGCAGTCAGCTGCAAAATTGCTTCTTGAGGCTGCAAATTTGGAGATTTCTCTCCAAATTTGCAGCCAACTCTATACTACTATTCCCCAAAAAAATACCAAAGTTAACCCTCAATCTCTTTAACAACATTTCATTATTCCAATTGTATCCCGTTATTATTTTTTATAGTTACTTAAAATCTGTATATATATATTAATATATTAAATATTTTTTAATGAAAATAATATCATTAAAAATGTCTCGTCGATACCTTCAAAATGAGACTAATATCGAAATATAAAATTGCAAAACAAGTAATTAGAAATGATAATACATTGGAGCTTAAACTGAAATAAAACACATTAACTTAGAATTACATCGAAATTTAAATATATGATTACATTATATATTTTTAAAATAAGTAAAAGAATTAAAAAATTGAGAGAAATTGAAATGGAGTTGGAAATGGAAGAGTATGATTGGAGTTGTAAAACTCTAAAATGGCATATTCCATAGAATATACCAAAGTGGGGACTGCATTTTGCAGTCCCCCATTGGAGTTGCTCTAAAAACTCATTTTTAACTGTGGTTCAGCTCCTTCGTGTCAACGGTATACACTTTGTGTACTGTATTTACCCCAAATTTCTAATTTACCCCCTCCTTTCATTCTCCACCCACCAAAAATCCAATACTCATCTCAAAATTAAAAGTCCTTCTCCGCTACCTTCATTACTGCTCCTCCTCCCTCATCTTCTCCTCCTCTCTCTCTCTCCAAACACTAACCCTAACCCTAACCTTCCTCCTCTTCACCTAAGAAAAGGAGGCGGAGGAATATGCTTTTGAGGAGAAATGGCGAAAGTGAAGTAATTTGATGGGGTTTAAAGTTTGGATCATGAAGCGTAGAGGGAGAAAGGGCCTTTGGATTTGTGTGCGTGTTGAAGCCACATTTGTTGGGTTTTGGGTTTGGGTTTATAAGTTTTGTAAGATTTTTTGATGGGTGTGTGTTGAGGGAGAGTCCATTATTTTTATTTCTTGGGATTGAATATTGTTCTTCTTTTCTTTTTTTTTTCTTTTTTTTGCTGAGATGATATTTTAGGGAAGTTTTTGGGAGATTTTGTGGATTGAAGAGTTTCATAGTTGGAGAGGGAAGAGAGTTGAGCGTAGTGAAATAAGTAATTGAGAGGCTACATGCAATGCAAAAGGTGTTTGTAAGGATTCCACTAGTAGAAAATCACGTATTCTAGATGGAATATTCTAGACGGAATTTTTTTCGTCTAGAATGTATTAAACTAGACGAAAATTTTCCGTCTAGAATAAACCATTCTAGACGGAAAATTCCGTCTAGAATAGTATTCTAGACGGTTCTTTTATGTTTTTATTTTTTTTTTTAAATAACCAGGTATTCTAGACGGAAATTTCCGTCTAAAATAGTATCCTAGACGGAAATTTCCGTCTAGAATACATAGACCAATTTTTTAAAAAAAATTCACCCAATAAACCTGCGAATGCCCTCCTTTCCCCCCTAAAACGAATAATTCCCTCCTCAACCTCACCCTCTACCCCTCTCTCCCCCTTCTCCTTCTCTCCATCCATGGCCTTCGACGATGAGCAGCTCCGACGAGCAGCTCTCCAAGGCCTTCTACGAGCTCTCCGCCATCCTCCTCTCGATCCTCCGCTCGCCGCCTGGATCCGGTCCTCCGCCACGGCGGATCCAGGCGGTGCCGAGATCTCCGTCCGCGAGGCGGAGCAAGATGACGCCGGCGGCGTTCGCTTCCCTCTTGCTGGGGGTTTAGTTCGCTATGATGCTTTCTGGAGCGGTGACGTTCGTGATTGGGATTATGCTGATGCCTTGGGTGCTAGGGTTTGTGATGGTGTTGTATTTTGCTTGGGTGCTAGGGTTTGTGATGGTGTTGTATTTCGTCGGGATTGTTTCGAGCTTGTCGGCGATGCTTTGCCCTAGCTCGTGGGTGGCGGGATCGAGAACAAGTCCCAAGGAGATCCACGGTAAAAATCTCTGATCTTTGGATTCATTTCTTTAAAATGTGAGAATTCGTTTCTAATTTGGTCACTGTTTATTTATTCATTTCACCGTTTTCTTTGGATTCGTTTCTATTTTTTTGGGTTTTTTCGTGGTTTTTTTTAGGGAAGAATCATTGAAGCCGATGGATGCAGAGAAACTGAGAGAGAACGCCCACAAGATGGTGGATTTCATCGCTGATTACTACAAGAGCTTAGAATCTTATCCTGTTCTCAGCCAAGTTAAGGTACAAAACTTTAGCAATGTGCTTTGTTTTTAAAAAAAAAATTTAAAGACTTTTCTACACCCAATTTTTAATGTAATTATTTTTTATTTATTCTGAAAGGGCTTGAAGTTATTTCAATTTGTGAATGTATTTATTGGATAGCTGGGTTTTAGGAATTGACAGAATGAGAACCAAGATTAAGATGTATTTGAAATGGATACTTTTTCTTCAAAATCAATGAGCTGAGATAGTGCCAAACTTGATGGGTTTGTAAATTATATATCTATTCTTCATGGCTATGCTTTGGAAATTGTTTTTCTTCTAAATAATTATTATCAATTTATGCAATGTACAGTGTATAATCTAATTTGACCTCTCCGCAGCCTGGTTATTTAAGGGAACTGCTTCCTCATTCAGCTCCTGATCTTCCTGAAAGTCTCCAAGATGTTCTTGATGGTGAGAGCACTCTCCATTTCTCATATTTCAGTAACTGATGATAATACGTGATGTTGTTTTAAACCATTTATATGTTCATTTCTTTTGGTGTTAATGATACAAACATTATCTTTTCTTCATGTAGATATCCGTCAGAAGATAATACCAGGTATAACGCATTGTCAAAGTCCCAATTATTTTGCATATTATCCCTCCAACAGTAGCACAGCTAGATTCCTTGGCGAAATGCTGAGTGCTGCCTTTAACATTGTGGGTTTCAGTTGGGTGAGTTGTCCTGCTACAACAGAGTTAGAAGTGATTGTTCTGGATTGGCTTGCTAAAATGCTGAAGCTACCAGATCAATTCCTTTCATCTGGTAATATGTGTAAAGTTTATGCAAGAAATTTAAACATGTCAGGATGTGGCTTTTCTTAGACTAGGCATATTTTTTTTATTCTGCAGTTGATGCAGCATGTGTTTTGCCGCATTGCAGAAAGTATCACAACTGGACCATTCGGCCAAGTAAGGACCAAGGAGAGGATTAAGATAAATATTTAAAATATTACTAGAAGTTTAAAGTTAGTTATGTGGTTGATTTGGACTACCTTATTAATTTCATTAGACTTATTTATTTGCGATGAGTTGGAGTCTCTAAAGCTTACTTTAGCTTTACTTGTTTGTTTTGGAAAGATTAGATTCAGCTAGTCTTGTTTTCAAGTTATGTTTCACTTTAGTAGCTATTTGTAGGAATGATAAAGATGTAGGACAGTAGGAGGTTTTGAAGATTGATGGTTATTTTTGTAACGTCAAAGATGGATCACATCTCTAAAGGAATAGGAATGAGGAAACTTGGATATAATGGAAATTTCACCTGTCTATGGGCTTTACAATTTTGGATGCATTGTTTGCGTCAAAAGTTGACTTTGTTATGGAATTCATTATATCTTCGGTCGATTACAACAAATTCAAAGAAATAGTCTTTTTATAAGACCTCTTTTACACAACAAAATAAAAATTACAACTCTTGAGAAACAAACGCAGGATCGTTGTTTGAATCGCTGCTTGCGTGGGATCTTTGCCTGTGCCGGGAGCGCTTTGACTCGTGGACCACCGAATCACAGATTCTGATTGAACCGTGAAGGGTTTAATGATTCTTCCTTCGTTTATCGAAGTAAGAATTTGAAGCGAATATCTTATCGATGTAAGATGTTCACTCTTCTAAAGATCAAGTCAGAGCTTAGATCTCTAGGACTGGCCAAAAGCTTCTTGAGGATGTTTGTGAAGAAGAAAGACTCTCTCTCTTGCTCTAATTCACCAAAACTCAAGGCTCTCTGCTCTAATCTGCTCTGGAAATGCTCAGCCCCTGTCAATGATGGCCATAGGGGGGTATTTATAGCCTCCTTAGACGATAACTGAAGAAATAGCCGATCAATAACTGTCTCTTTAGGCGCGGCAGCTGATGCTGTCGCGGCTAAAGGGCGCGACAGTCGACACTGTCGCGGCCAAAGAGCGCGGCAGTCGACACTGCCGCGGCTAAAGGGGCAGTTACACCCACGTTCATACGTGTTTGAAACAGTTCTCCCACGACCTTTAACCACCTTTTTCGTGGTTTAACTGCTTTTCCACATCAGCACACGTTCTATTTCTGATACTCCGCCACGTGGACTTTAAATAATCATCAGATAACTGTATTATAACTGCTGTAGCATCCTGCTTTAACTGCCGCGGCACCATAGGTTGCAGCGGTTAAGCCGCGACACCATAGGCTGCCGCGCCTTAGCCGCGGTACCTTGGTCTGCCGCGCCTTAGCCGCGGCACCTTGGTCTGCCGCGCCTTAGCCGCGGCACCTTGGTCTGCCGCGCCTTAGCCGCGGCACCATGTCCTGCCGCGCCGCCATATGTTGCTTGATGACGTGTATATTGTTCTTCTATATCGTCTTGAGTGGTGTTTGAATGTCTGTAAGCATTTTTTGATGTCTACAGATACCCCCTCCAAAGTATCTCAGACTCATCATTTTTTAGAGAGGGGTCTGGGACACTTTGGATATGATAAGTTTTCCCTGCAATTTCTCCAGTGCTTTGTTGAGAAAATTGCGTAGAAGGGTTTGTGAATGGCTTCAATCCTTGACTTCTTCATCTTTTAGCCTATTCGGTGCTTTGTAGAATAGCTAAAATTCCTCCGCTGCTGCGTTTATCGCGTGGCCGTTGTCGAAGTCTCAAATTAAAACTGCTGTCGAAGAATTTGAGAAATAGTTTATACTCATATACTATATTGGAGTGTTCGGGAAATAGTTTAACCTCATATACCCGTTGGGAGGTAACCAGGTTATTCTTAAGAATATTTTGAGTAATATTCTCCAGAAACTTCCTGTTGAGATTAGGGAAATAGTTTAGACTCGTATACCTATTGGAGTATTCTGGTCTCTTGTTTGTTGGTAGAGATGAACCCGGAATCGGAGAGGAAGAATTTTATATTCTATCTCCTGGTCTCTTGTTTGTTGGTAGAGATGAACCCGGAATCGGAGAGGAAGAATTTTATATTCTATCTCCTGGTCTCTTGTTTGTTGGTAGAGATGAACCCGATGATGGAGAGGAAGAATTTTATATTCTATCTCCTGGTCTCTTGTTTGTTGGTAGAGATAAACCCGATGATGGAGAGGAATAATTTTATATTCTATCTCCTTGTCTCTTTTTTGTTGGTAGAGATGAACCCGGAATCGGAGAGGAAGAATTTTATATTCTATCTTCTGGTCTCTTGTTTGTTGGTAGAGATAAACCCGAAATCGGAGAGGAAGAATTTTATATTCTATCTCCTGATCTCTTGTTTGTTGGTAGAGATAAACCCAGAATCGGAGAGGAAGAATTTTATATTCTATCTCCTGGAGTAAAGAGACTCAAAGTGAGATCTCCATTTAGAGAATCTGGATTGGTTTGAATAACCCTAACTGTCATAAGGTTTGGTTACTCAATTCAAAAGGGGACCTTTTGTTCGTTAAATGAATCAAAAGGAGGTTTTGACTGTGGTCCTAACTGTAGTAAGGTTTGACCAAGTGGGAGTTTTGAGACGATCCTAACTGTTTAAAGATTTGATCGTTCAATTTGTGGACCTCTCGTTCGTGGAAGGAATCGAGAGGGGATTTTGGCTTTGGTCCTAACTGTTTAAAGGTTTGACCAAATAGGGTTTTGTGAGGGAAGATTGATCTAAAGAAGTGATCGAATCTCATCTCAGCAAAAGAGTATTCAGAAATCACCGTGGGGATGTAGTGTTTATCACTTTGTTTTTAGAAATCACCGTGGGGATGTAGTGTTTATCACTTTGTTTGTAATGATCGGGTTATCCCTAAGAAAATTACATATAGCATTCTTTCGAGAAGCTTTCTTTGCAAAACTGGGTGTAACGAGGAGTACGTTATCCTCAGTCGCATGTTCGGGTTATCCTTAAGAATATAAGATTCTCCAGGAACTTCCCGTTGTATAAATCATCCACCCCCAGCTTCCTTTGCGAAACCGGGTTTAACATTGTACTCAGTTGGATAATCGAGAAGCAGTTTATACTCATATACTCTTTGGAGTATGGGGAAACAGTTTATACTCGTGCACCCACTGGAGTTGGATGGTCGTCTTTACTCGACTTCTTTCGTCGTTATGATGCCGGAGTCAATTAGGGCTTGGATCTTCTTTTTGAGTCCAAAGCAAATCTCGGTGGGATGAAGAACCCTTCTGTGGTACGCACAGTAATTTGGATCCGTAATCCTCTTAGCTCCATCCTGATCTTTAATAGGTGGTAGCTCGATTTTATCATTAGCGAGGAGGTATTCTAATATGGCTGGAGCTTCATCATCTTCGAAAGAATATTCCTTTTGAAACCTCGGATCGAGAGTCGCATTCTCAACGATTGCAGATGTCATTGGTTGGCCTCTCTCAGCTTTCTTTCTTTTAAGAAAGTGCTCAGCTTGTTCACCCCGAGATTTTAACTCCTTCCAAGTTGTGGATGGTACGACCCCCAGAGTTTCCAGGACATCGATGGAGAGGTTATTGTGGCATGTTTGCAGGATGAACTCCTCTGTAACAGGATCTCTGTAATTCATTGCCATGTTACGGAAGCGCTTGACAAAATTGTCAACTGATTCTCCGTCTTTTTGCTTCTCATCCAAAAGGGTTCCGATTGACACTTCGGTGTCATCATCGAAGAAATTGCTGAGGAACAAACTTTCCATGTCATTCCAGCAATTGATGCTTCCTGGCTTGAGTCGTCGGTACCAATCGAAGGCGGGCCCACGAAGGGTGCCAACGAATGACCGGACCATTAAAGCCTCGTTTCCAGAGATCATGCTCAAATGAGACTTAGATTGAACTTCGCCGGGTACGGTATCGAATCCCATTCCCTTGGATAGGGACATGGAATACCCGTCTTCTTAACTTCTTGAGCCGTCATCAAAGCGTTGATTTTGTTTTCAAGCTCTTTCATTTTCCCGTCATCGTCTATGTCTTCATTCGAATGACGTTGAGGAGAATGAGTTAGACCGCCCCCTGTAAGAGGTGTCATTGAACCACTCCCAATATCGTTATTGGGAGAATGTGTTAAACTACCCCCAGCGTTATTGCTATTGGGAGGTGTATCAGCCATAATAACTTCATCCACTTTTGGATCACTGTCATTCACAACTTTCTGAGTGTGGCAGCTGGATTCAGTTCTTTGACTGGACTCAGGGAGTTGAGGCCGCTGAGCTAGCAATTCTCTCATTTGTTGGATAGCTAACTCCATTTCTGTCTTCACTTCAGCTCTAATTTCTTCACGTTGTTTGGCTAGAGCTTCTTGAAGTATTTGAGTGAACTGATCAGCAGTGATTGTGAATACTTCTCTGATTTGTCCTGTGCTAGACATTGTATCATCAGAAGCGATTGCAGAATAAGTGTCCGAGAATTCATCCTCCGAGGACATTGAATGCCGTTTAGACTTTCTTTTATCAGTCACGTTGATGGTGACTTCAAGGAATTCATCATCTTGGGCAGCTGATTTTCTCTTGCGGAAATGTCTTGGCTTAGGTTTCGATAACACAGAGGCTCTTCGTGGGAAGGCTTCTCGTTTGAAACAGTCACATTCTGATAATGCTGCTTTAACGAGTCGCGCACAGGAACAACGAGAGTTTATCTCTCGAATAACTCTCTTTCGGAAATTATTCACAACCCTAACTTGATAATACGATTCATCGGTATGATTGCCAAAAAATCGTATCGTCTGTTGGCATGACCCTTCAGGTATGACGATATCATTTGGTGAATGCGTCTTCTTCTGGGGGCGTAAGACCTTGTTGGCGTTCTCAGGACAATTTGTTTTTGAGCGATCCAAGGTTATGTCAGGAGTCACATGTTTAGAACCACCCCTTTGCGGATGCGGTGTCTTAACGAGCTCCTGTGATTCGTTCACTGGACCCAAGCGTTCTTTAACTGGAGCTTGATCGTCAGATGAGGGACTGAGGCGATCCGCCATCGTGATCTTGGATATTGACAGGTCAGGACTGAACCGTGGCTTCCCTGGTGATGGAACAATTATGATTGTAGTAGACGGACCAGGAATGGACGTTGATGGGGCTGAAGGAAAACTCTTTGGAGCTTCTCTTTGACCGCGGCAGGGAAGATCGTCGCGGTCGCGAGATGTGCCGCGGCAGTGGAAACTGCCGCGGTTGAAGGATGTGCCGCGACAGTGAAGAATGTCGCGGTCACAGGTTGGATTATGCAGACCCGATTTTAGTACGAGTTTTGATTTGGGGATCCATACTTTGTGATTCTTTGGTGCTTCCTTAGACACTGTTTCCTTCTTCCCTTCTTGTCTTTGTTGTAAAAGAGCACGGGCATGAACAGCGTTTGCACGACGTTTTTGTATACGTTCTTTGAGGGTTGAGCGAGCCCTTTTGACGAGTGTCCATTCCTCCGTCGTGAGTTTAGCAGAGACATGAGTGATTGGTCGTTGAGACAACTGAACCACTCTATGTCTCCTCGACTCTAAGTCCGCATGATAACGAACTCCGTCGGTTTGTTCCAAGGCCTTAGCTATTTGACGAGCGCGGCGCTGACGTTGTCTCTGACGAGCCATCTTCGTCAGTGCTGGTGGGCTTTGATTCGATGACTCTTTAACTAGATAAGAGTCATTGTGAGCAGGGGTGTTGCGAGTAAAATCCTCAGCAGCAATCAGGCGAGAGTCTTCATTTTGTGCCTTCTTTGGCATGTAAGTCTTCCTCAATTGTGAGATCCTCTTATACTTGCGAGACAATGAAGATCTTGAAGAGGATGATGAGAGATATTCCTCAAACTTGGTTTGGTCGAATTCGTATTCGACCATGGATTCAACTGGAATCTTAATCGATGGTTTCACGATACATGCATGACCCGAGTTCGGGTCATTGGATTGTTTGGGTCAAAAGTTGGTTTTGTCATGGAATTCATTATATCTTCGGTCGATTACAACAAATTCAAAAGAGATAGTCTTTTTATAAGACTTCTTTTACACAACAAAAGGAAAATTACAACTTTTTAGAAACAAACGCAGGATCGTTGTTTGGATCGCTGCTTGCGTGGGATCTTTGCCTGTGCCGGAAGCGCTTTGACTCGTGGACCACCAAATCACAGATTCTGATTGAACCGTGAGGGGTTTAATGATTCTTCCTTCGTTTATCGAAGTAAGAATTTGAAGCGAATATCTTATCGATGTAAGATGTTCACTCTTCTAAAGATCAAGTCAGAGCTTAGATCTCTAGGACTGGCCAAAAGCTTCTTGAGGATGTTTGTGAAGAAGAAAGACTCTCTCTCTCTTGCTCTAATTCACCAAAACTCAAGGCTATCTGCTCTAATCTGCTCTGGAAATGCTCAGCCCCTGTCAATGATGGCCATAGGGGGGTATTTATAGCCTCCTTAGACGATAGCTGAAGAAATAGCCGATCAATAACTGTCTCTTTAGGCGCGGCAGCTGATGCTGTCGCGGCTAAAGGGCGCGACAGTCGACACTGTCGCGGCCAAAGAGCGCGGCAGTCGACACTGCCGCGGCTAAAGGGGCAGTTACACCCACGTTCATACGTGTTTGAAACAGTTCTCCCACGACCTTTAACCACCTTTTTCGTGGTTTAACTGCTTTTCCACATCAGCACACGTTCTATTTCTGATACTCCGCCACGTGGACTTTAAATAATCATCAGATAACTGTATTATAACTGCTGTAGCATCCTGCTTTAACTGCCGCGGCACCATAGGTTGCAGCGGTTAAGCCGCGACACCATAGGCTGCCGCGCCTTAGCCGCGGTACCTTGGTCTGCCGCGCCTTAGCCGCGGCACCTTGGTCTGTCGCGCCTTAGCCGCGGCACCATGTCCTGCCGCGCCGCCATGTGTTGCTTGATGACGTGTATATTGTTCTTCTATATCGTCTTGAGTGGTGTTTGAATGTCTGTAAGCATTTTTTGATCTCTACATGCATATAATCAAAATATTTATAAAGTTTGTAATACATAGGTAAATCAAACCATCTGAACTGATTCCGGAGTTCTACATGGAGTTAATCCATATAAAAATGCATGACCAAAACATGTTGTATTTCCTTCTCGTTCATAGAATATCCCTTCATTTCATTTACCTAAACAATCAGCATATCAAAAAATAAATTAATGGCTGAAATTTTGGGGTAGTGAGCTGCAAATAAGTTAACTTTTAGGATTGTCGATTGTGAGTTGCTAAAGTCAGATGCTTTCTGTGTAGATGGCTACTTTTGCTACTTATTTTGGACTTGGACAGCAAAGGCACAGGTGACACTCTCTAGCTCTTCCTATATTTTGTGTTCCTTTTAAGAATTTTAGGTAAGATTTTTGATATGGAAATCGATTGTTTACGGGAGCTTAAATTTCAGTTCATGCTTACGCTCAGAATGATGAGGAAGAAGGTGAAGAAGGAGAAGAAGAGGCCTGAGTAAATGTATAAGGAATGAGTTGAAGAAGCTTCTGCAGTGTCATAGCCATTGTAAATAATTTATGTAAAAGTTTATAAACAATTTATGTATCTCTCTACTATTTTGGTAAATGTATTATTTGAATATAATAAAATTTGATATTGAAATATAATTAGATTGTGTTGGATATGAATATAATTTATTGTTCAATATTGTGTACATGCACTCAAAGTAGATTTTGCAAAAAAAAAAAAAAACTACTGTAGTATAGTATCCTAGACGGAAATTCCGTCTAGAATACTTAAATTCCGTCTAGGATAGCTTATTTTTAAAAAAAAAATTTAAAAACATCCTTCCGTCTAGGATGAGTATCCTAGACGGAAATTTTCGTCTAGAATACTCATCCTAGACGGAAATTTTTTTCGGCTAGGATGAAGTATTCTAGACGGAATTTCCGTCTAAAATATTCCATCTAGAATGTATTCTAGACGGTTTTGAATTCCGTCTAGGATATATTCTAGACGGAATTTTCGTCTAGAATACTACATCCTAGACGGAAACTTTCTAGACGCGTATTCTAGACAGAATTCCGTCTAGAATACACATCCTAGACGGAATTCTGAGTATCCTAGACGGAATTTTTCGTCTGGGATATTTTATTTTTTACTTGTGTTCTAAGGAAGGATTTTTTTTTTCATGTAGTCCTTTAAAGCTTAAGTATTTCGCAAAGTAAAATTAGCATCATGGAGATTATGGTGTATGTGTGAAGGTTATGGCTTATCTGTTAATATTATCACATATTGTTAAGGTTAGGTCGTGCATGTTAAGGTTATGTTGTATCTGTTAAGGTTATATCATACCTGTTAAGGTTAAGTCATACCTAATAAGGTTATCATATATTTGTTAAGATTATGGTGTACCTGTTAAGGTTATGTTGTATCGATTAAGGTTATGGTGTACCTATTAATGATATGACGAATTCTAACTGATATAGTGTAACGATATCAATTAGATTCGCTGTTTAGTTTATTAGGATTAAGAAAAATCAAACAAACAAATCAAACAAACGGAGTCAAAGTTTAACAATTTAGCAGTTTCAGCTTAAAAGTCTAACGAGTAAAGTTAACATCAGCTAGGTAAGATTCATAGTTAATCTTTTATAGTTTATTATCAAATGTCATACTAAAAAATTTGCAAATAGCCCACTAGAGTTAATGGTTGAACTCTAAACTTAACAATCGGTGGGTAATTTTAAAAGAGAATGTTCTAAATTAGTAGATTCCATAAAATTTTAATAGTTATGTTGTAAATTTAACATCCACTTGCTAAGATTCACACATTAAATCTTAAAGTTAAATAGAATTTTCTGATAACCCCTAAACTTGACGGGGAGTTTTATGATATTTTGAAAGTTACAGGAGGTTATTAGATTATCGTCCAAAGTTGATGGCGGCTTTCTGATAATGATAAGAGATAATTTATAAGTCCTGCACTTTTAATCCACTAACTTCTATCTACTATTCCTCCTTATTCCTCATTACTTTGGCAAGAATAAAAACAAAATAGTGAAATAGAAAAGCTATCAAATTTAATAAAAAATAGTTAATGATAGTTAAATATACTCTAAAATTTATCACTTTTAACAATTATAGTATAACATTAACAGGTACATCATAACCTTAATAGGAACACCATAACCTTAATAGATGCATGATAAGATTAACATGTATGCCATATATCTTATCCTTAACATGTACATTATAACCTTAATATGTATGGCCTAACCTCAACAGATATATTAGAACCTTAACAAATACATCATAACCTTAACATGTATGTCAGAACATCAAATGCACGAGATCTCCATGATATTTTCCTCTTTTTGTTACCCCCTTCTTCTTTTCATCCTCATGACACCAATTTTGTATTTGTGAAATACTCCGTGATGCTAAATTATGTGTTGTGAAATACTTGCATTTATAATAGTTTAGGCAAGCAAAATAATCTTTACTAGGAAATACTTGTATTTATAATAGGTTATCTACATGAAATCCAAGACTTCTTCATCCTCCTCTTCTCCTCTCAAAACTCACACAATTCAAAACCCTCATAATTCCCTTTCCCAAACCCCATCATCATCATCATCATCCATCATCATCAAAATTAAAATCAACTCCTCTAACAACCCTACATCGTTGCAACATCCATTGTCGGCAACCCTACATTGTAATGTGTAGACTCTCCATTTACTAATGACCTAGATCCGGTCACTGCCCCTCCTCTCGTGACCACAGGTTCGCGATCACCATGCATGACCTTCGATCATTGCTATCAGATTCTGCTCTCCACTTGCCGACGGCCCGGAGCTGGTCACCACACCTCCTCTCGTGACCGCCTTGTGTGACCTCCCATCACTGTTGCAACACCGCCATCTCCTTAATCACATGTGCTCGCTTCTCGCTGTTATCACTTTCGGCTCATCTCATCCAGACTTTTGGTTCTCAATTCACCATGTTTTTAATGGGAGGTGTTAAAAATAGCAACATATACTCTCTTGATATCCTATCTTCTCAATTAGGTAGCATATAATATTGTATTAGATAGTATATTTTCTACTCTATTTTTTTTACTTCTATTGGCTCTTTTTATATTAAATTTATATATTACATAAATGTATGTCATCGTACTCACACGTGCGACCAAAGGAAACAGCTAATCTTTGAAACAGTTCAAACCGGGCCGAAATTTAAGTTCCCAAATTTGTACCCGGTCCGAATTTAGCCCAGTCAGCGATGATAGAATGAACTGGCCCATATCTGTCCGTTCCTTACCCCGAGCCAAGCCCAATTCTATTTCAAGCAAATCCAAGTAAAAAAATAAAAGGAGAAGGTTGAATTCAGACTCCTCTCCGTCTTCATCGAGAGCTAGGGTTTCCATTCTCCGTCAAAATCTAGGGTTTGTTACCGATCAGATCCAAGGGAAAAGGAAGATGGTGAGGGGATTGCTCGGAAAGCTCGCGTCTCGATCTCTCTCCATCGCTGGGAAATGGCAGCAGCAGCAGCTCCGTCGCCTCAACATCCACGAGTACCAGGTCCCAAACCTAGGGTTTTTTTTCGTTCTGATTACTGATGCTATCTCGTTCTGATTCGTTAATACCTGATCGATCTGACTGATCTCGTGTTTAACGATCCGTTTTAATTTTGCGGCAGGGTTCGGATTTGATGAGTAAGCATGGGATTAATGTCCCAAGGGGAGTTGCCGTCTCATCGACCGAGGAGGTGAGGAAGGCGATCAAAGATGTTTTCCCTGGCGAAAAGGAGGTAATTTCGTCTAAATTTCATATGGAAATGTGTCTACCTCAGGGTTTTCTTTTGTGATGATAGCAAAGAAATATTAATAGATGTAATAATTCTGGCATAAATGTTACTGTAATGGGAAAATTTGGACTCGGTAGTGAGCCAGCTCAAATTTGGTAATTCTTAGATAAATATAATATCGCAACTAACTGCTTATGTGAATGTTCGTTGACGGTTATTTTGCTGTAAAGTTGAATAGATTTCATAATTATTTGTAATAGTTTGATAAATAATAGTTAGACAAGTTAACCTATTGTGAGTTAATTTTGGAAATTATGTCACTCACTTTAAAGAAAGAATCCTCAGAACAGATTATTATCAGGTTCATATTTTCGTTGCCAAGCATAGGTGCAAAAATTATTGACCCAAGAGTCCATACGTTGACCCTTTTGTGATAGGAAGACATTTGTCTAAAATATTGTGAATGTACAAGGATGTACCCTTGGATGTTAAGATTTTACACCTTGTGTGATATTGCATATTAAAGAAAATTTTCATTCTCCAAGTTCATACCAAACACAGATGAAATGTAATAAGTTGGAAACCTTACAATATCATCTTTTCATTATCTTGCTCCACTCCAGATTGTTGTCAAAAGCCAAATTCTTGCTGGTGGTAGAGGTTTGGGAACCTTCAAAAGCGGACTTAAGGGTGGAGTACATATTGTTAAAACTGAGGAGGTGGAAGATATTGCTGGTAAAGGGTTACATCTTCATTTTGATATCATTTGTTTCTGTTTCAATCTTTCTATTTGGTCGTGCATCTGAATGCTTTTGTGCTACTAGAGTTTTATATTCAAATGAACACAGTTCTGAATTTTCATCTTCAAAGAATTAATAAACACTTGTGAAATGCTCATTATAGGTTCTTTCTCCAATATAATTTGAACCTACCTCCATATTTTTTTCAGGAAAAATGCTTGGCCAGATTCTTGTCACCAAACAAACTGGTCCTCAAGGAAAGATTGTGAATAAGGTTAGGGATTTTGCTCTTCTCCTCCACAATCTTTTTGTGTATATTCATGTTTGATGTTCCAATTATCACAATAAGTCCTGCAAAGTTTAGTTATTTGTGTCACCTTGCTTGTTTATAATGCTTTCTGATAAATGATTCACATTTTCTTTTTTTGATAATTTTCCTTTTGTTAATATATTCTTATTTTTGCAAGAGTCTATTTTTTCAACTAGAGATAGCCCTAATCTCATTCTTGACAAACAAGCAATTTTTTACGGAGTGTTTATGCATATTTGTTGGGCCAGGTGAAATAGTTTTACTGAGGACAGAAAGCATTGATGGATGCACTACCAAAAACTTATGCTGGAGAATGCCCGCTATTCATTTAAAAACAATAATAAATACTGTTTATTGAAAATAACTATAGTGAAGAAGGTCAACTTTGTTGAGAATAGATGAGTAAACGATGTTGATCTCCTAAGAAGAACTAGATGGTCTGGTTCAGTGAATGTACTTTACTGTAGTGGTTCCACTAAACTAAATCACACATAAAAAGAGCTCTGCCAACTTTTGTGACCCCAATTGGTGCCATATATTCTAGATGCTAGTAGCTGTTTGTTAATAATGCTTAAGTATGAATCTTGGTTTAAATATCTGGCTCATTTTAGTTGCTAATGGCTAAAACTCAGGTCCAAAGTAACAATCCAAGTCTCTAAATTATCTGATCAACATCATAATTTAGCTGAATGTTTTTAGAAGAAAAATCATCCCAGAGCTTTTAACCTCCTTGGGTCATGCAAGAACTTTGATGCCAGGCCCAAAATCTCTTATTTGTTCTGCTAATCAGTATCTTAAGTTTTTGTTTTAAGAAATAAAAAAATGTAGTTACAGTCAATCTTAGGTCTTTAAGTTTTTATGAGAAAGCTTGCTGTCATATGTTCTCTTTGCAAGCCAAGTTGCTAGCTGAATATATGATATTATGAATCATGAATACACAACAGGGAATATGACTGAATGCTAACTTAGAGAAGCTAGGCATACATGCTAATGCATACTTTTATCAGCTGACTTGAATGTTGGCATGCATTTTTTGTATGTTTTGTTCAAGAAGTTGCTTTTATGATATGTGAAAATTTGTTAGACTTGTTCATATGCCTATCTATTGAATTGCTGCCTGTCCTTTTTGCAGGTATATTTGTGTGAAAAGCTGTCACTTGTAAACGAGATGTATTTTGCCATCACACTGGACCGTACTTCTGCTGGGCCGGTATGTTTATAATTAAGTGCTATAGTTTGTTATTGTTTCAATCTTGTCTTTTGTATTTGCATGATATGTCAAATCAAGGGCTGAGATAATATAACTATTCTGATTTTTTTTTAAATTAGTTTTGAACCTCATATATTTAACTGCCCATATTTCTTCGGCTTGATTTTATTCTCTTTACCTTGTCCTTTCTATAACTTGTTAATGCAAAGTTATTGCTTTCTATACATGTTCGTAATTATCTGTTCTTTTATTTAGACATATTATGTGTTATTTCATCTGGTCTTGGGACTTCTTATGTCTGTACTTCATGAGAATCCTTAAAGTGAGATGACTCGAGCATAATCAAAACCAAAGCCAGCCGTGAAGCAAGGTTTAGCTGTAACCATTATAATTTTTCTGAACTTTTCATAATTTAGCATTACTTTTGGCAATTATATATTTTTTTTAAAGTTAAAACCAAAACTTAATACATGTATCTTACAATTTGTGTGCAAAGGGCTCTACCATTTTGCTCTACACTTCTGCTATTCACAAAATTGGAAAGAACCTAAAACTAAGGAGGTATGAGAGGTTTTACGTTCTAAAACTTTGGTGGTTATTCATGACAAGTACATCAAATGCCTAGCCAACAACTTTGTGACTGAAGATAAACTAATGGATAACACAAGCATACAGAATAGTCTGACTGCTTAAGCACCAATTTTGATGGTACTGTTTGAATTTGGTCTAATTTGCAAATTTAGAAATTAGAAATGTAATCTGGAACATGCATATGACTACTGAAATTTGACTTTTGTTGATGCTTGTACATTATAAATTGAATTTGATATTTAAATTGCCGTCTCTGATGATGTGTAATACTTTCAGATCATCATAGCTTGTAGAAAGGGAGGAACCAGCATTGAGGACCTTGCAGAGAAGTTTCCTGACATGATTGTCAAGGTGAACATTGTTTATTCCTTCATTTTAGTTTTGGTTATGAGAGATTGTATTAGATTTATGTAGATTATCATTCTGAATGCCCATTTTTGTGTTTCACTAAGAACTTCTAAATTAGTTGCTGCATTTCATTTTTATCTATGCAAAGGTACCAATCGACGTTTTCAAGGGAATCACTGATGAAGATGCTGCTAAGGTTGTTGATGGTCTGGCACCTAAGGTAGCAGATAGAAATGCTTCAATTGAACAAGTGAAGAAGCTCTACAATCTTTTCTGTGCATGTGATTGCACTTTGTTGGAGGTATCTGAAAGAACTTTGCTATTTTCTTTGTTGCTGGTATCTTTTCCTCGATTCTTTTATAGACTTATCTCCACTTTTTAACATGCTAAACTTCTTACGGGCAGATTAATCCAATTGCAGAAACATCCGATAATCAGCTAGTAGCAGCTGATGCGAAGTTGAACTTTGATGACAATGCGGCTTACCGGCAGAAAGAGATATTTGCTCTCCGCGATACATCCCAAGAGGATCCTCGAGAGGTCTACCAACATGCTCTTATTGCTGTTATGGCTGTATATAGTTTAACTCATTATGATTATTAGTTACATCATACTAACTAATTTACAAAACTGCTGTTGTCATTAACTTTCATCAGATAATACTTGAGAAAATACAAAATTTCCTTAATTTTCATGTAAACTCTGACTCGCTAGTCTGCAATCATCACATCTGCTGAATGTCAGATACCCTTCAATTATTTTCATATATCTTTTCCTTGATTCCTTTTACATCCATTCTGCAGGTTGTTGCTGCCAAAGCAGACTTGAACTACATTGGCTTGGATGGAGAAATAGGATGCATGGTTAATGGTGCAGGGCTGGCAATGGCTACTATGGATATTATAAAATTACATGGCGGCACACCTGCCAATTTTCTAGATGTTGGTGGGAATGCATCAGAAAATCAGGTAGTAATTGTTACTTAGCAAGAAGTTATATTTGTTCCTCAAGCAAACAACAAACATTTCATCTATTAGGAGTCAAGTGTGCTGTTTTGAAGATGAATCTGGGAGGAGCTTGATAGTTTTAGTATTTTCTGTTCTTAATTCCTTAATTTGATCCTTTTATTTTACAAACTAGAAACATTTCTATTGTTCATATAAAATGTTTTGCATATTCTCTTTTTCCTAACTGATTCTTGGTATGTTGCCTCAGGTCGTGGAAGCATTTAAAATTTTGACATCGGATGATAAAGTAAAAGCGATTTTGGTCAACATATTTGGAGGAATCATGAAATGTGACATTATAGCAAGCGGAATTGTCAACGCTGCTAAACAGGTCTGATCAACTGAATTTTACATTATTGTCACTCGCCACCATGATTTCATAAACCATTTAGTAACCTAGATATACATTGCTTTGACTTGTTATTCTAAAAGATAAATGATGCTATCTAGAAAATACCTGGTTTGAACTATGAAACGGTTGGGGCATGTGAATCTTCGCTCATCTGATTAGAGTGACTTAAACTCAAGGTTTTCATCCCTCTTCCTTTCCACTAGAGTCCTTGTCTGCAGCTTGTTAAAGTAATGGCATCAAATCTTTAGGCATGCAAGAGTTGGGGATCCTTGCAGCTGTTTCAGGATGGTGATCATTCTTGTGATCAAATATAGACATCATTCTAAATAAATAAATAAAATCAAAAACTTGAAGCATCTGTATGCTGACCACTAGCAATAAACCCAAAACTGGACTCGGCAAAGAAAGAATAAAGTTTTTATTTGATTGGTTTGCAAGGAGATCAAATGAAAACATGTTTTCATCTCTCGCGCCCCTCAACATTTGTGCAATTAAAATTTCAAATTATCTTTAACACTTTCCTGGGTTACTAAACCTGTGTCTTTAGATGGTCTTGTCGGAAAGTTGAACTCCTCCTCCTTCCTTTTTTTAGAGGAATAACAATATTTGTTTTATTTTCATAATATTTGCTAGGTTTCCCTCAACATTTGTGGAATTAAAATTTCAAATTATCTTACATCTTCCTGGGTTACCAAACCCTTGTCTTTAGATGGTCATGTTGGAAAGTTTAACACTTTTTTATTTTTTATTTTTTATTTTTTATTGAGGAATGACAATGTTTGTTTTATTTTCATAATATTTGCTAGGTTTCGCTCAAGGTACCTGTGGTTGTTCGATTAGAAGGCACCAATGTCGATCAAGGAAAGAGAATCCTTAAGGTAACGGATTACGCATAAGATGACTCTGTTTTGGCCTTCTTTTGCATCATGTATGGTTATATACTATACAACATGGAAGAGAAAGTACAACTTAATTAATGATTTTGTGATTTGTGTAGGAGAGTGGAATGACTTTGATTACAGCCGAAGACTTGGATGATGCTGCAGAGAAGGCAGTCAAAGCCTCCAGCGGCTAATCAATTTGTGAGGGGCTGGTTCTCACATTTAATTTCTCTTCTTTTTTTCTTCTATAAAAAGAAAATGAGTGCTTACTCGCCAATGGTATGTTGGGGGTATTAACTGCATTTTTTTGGGCGATAGAAATCGTCTTTGGGAGGTTTTCAAGATTTTGTATTTAGTGTTGCGCAGAGTACTAACACTGAAATAAAATTGTCTTTTATTTCGTAAAGTGATGATGAATTACGTTTCCTGTTACTCTGGATCTGGAAAATATTGGATTCTGCTGGAGTTGTTCCTTTTTATCATTTTGTTTTCATTGTAACTGCAAACATGTAGAGATACTTGCCACAGTGAATAACTCAGTGAAATAAACAGAAGATGGTAGGAAGTTTACTTCTGGTTAATTTCTGTAGAGATACTATATTGATATGTTTAATATTTTTGAAAAATCTTATGACGCTTTGATTTTCTTTTTCTCGGAGCCCGTCGTTTTTGTGTTTCTTGGATCTTTTTGAATCAATCTATCATCTTTTTTTTTGTAAGTTAATTTCTGTTATATCTTACTATATTTTTTTCAAAGATTCAAGAATCTTATGAACATTAAAGGTGGCCATAATTCTGAACTTCTTAAATGCTGGAGGATACGAGGTCAAAACTCTTGATGGTAACGTTAAAAACTGGACTTAAAGGTGGTCATGCCTCTCTTTTCACATGGTTTCATTGAAAAAGTTAGGTTACCTTTTGTCGCGGACATCTAATTTTCAGGTTTCTGACCACGTCATCAAACCCTATACGTGTCATTTTGCCGAACCATTTTTAAGCCGAACCCAAAGATGCTGGCGAATTTGAAAGCGCCACCTACATTTTTATCAAGATCGTTGGATTTTATTTTATTAACCGAATAATCTCTCATATTCATTGAACTTCACAATTGAGCACGTTGAACAATAAATATTTAGCAGAAAATAGCGAACCCTTATAAAGCTCTTATAAAGTTACTAAATAGGGAGATCAACACAACTAAAATTATAGATTGGCATTTATTTTGCGTACCGTTAGTTATCCCTATTTCACATGCAAACCTCACGCTCTCACGCATAACGTGTTTCAATTAAAAAGAACTAAAAACTAGACTCAGAAACTCCGATCGGTCAATCTGAAGATTTTACTGCATCCAGCATCGACGCGCTAAAAAAACATTCCAAATTTGGAGATTTGCAGATTTGAACCCCCGCGTAGTTCTTCGCCATCTCAGGCCAAATAAGCATCCAATATTATTGTAGCGGTCTGAAAACTTAAACCTCTGATCCCCTACTCCCCCTCCAACGACCCCACAATCCCTTTGGAGATGCAGTAAGCAACAGACTGGATGGTGATCATAGGATTCACTCCAACTGCAGTAGGAAGCACGCTCCCATCACACACAAACAACCCCTCAGCCTCCCAACTCTCCCCCCTCTCGTCAACCCCACCCTCCTCCTCGCTCACCCCCATCCTACAACTCCCCATCTGATGCGCCGAACAATACATCGTCCCTCAGCGCCCGCCTCAGCCCCTCGCGCAGGCGTTCCTTGTCCGATCCGTCCATTCTGTACCTCACTCTCCCTTCGCCTCGCACCGTGCCTGATCCCTGGTCTCTGACGAGCGCGAAGAGGTGCGCGGTTCGACTGTATTTGAGCATTCGTTCTTTCATGTCTTTTCCAGATACCCAGGGGATTAGTGATGCGAATGAGGCGGGGCCGGTGCTTGCCGCTTCGATGATTGCTTGAGTGGTTGAATTTGAGCTCTTGATTTTGTGGAGGGAGGTGATGATGCCTCCCTCGTACTTCTTGCCCTTGAGTTCTGGTACTGATTCTGGGAAGTATCCCCAGGCTAAGGCACAAGGGTGAAGATGTAGGTTTTTTCCTATGTTGGGGTTCGTTAGCCCGCTGGCGATCATCAGAGGGGGGGTCAACAGGGCCCCACAAGCCGAAATGGCCACCTTAGATTTAATCTGTATTTTCTTTGTCACGTTATTGCTCAGAACTTTCGCTAGTACTCCGACGCACTTGTTGGGTTTCTTGCCAGCATTGTTCTCTTTGAACACGAATTTCTCTGCTTTGCATCCTGTCAAAATAACTGCGCCAGAGTTAACTGCATCGACCAACCAAGTAGTATCGGTTCCTTTCTTATCTCCAGTTGGACATCCATAACAACAACTCCCACAGTAGTGAGACTCTGAGCAATTTCTCGGTACGAAATCAACATCAAGACCAAGTTTTTTACACCCTTTTCGAAGAACTTGGTTCTGCAATCCTTCCTCTGTGCAGGTTTCAGTAACTCCAATTCTTTCACATACTTTGTTCATCGCCAATATGTACTCTTGATTCTTGAAAAGATTTAGATTTTTTACTTCTGCCCACTCTTTGAGAACATTATCTGGTGTCTTTATGCAAGCTGACCAGTTTACAGCTGAGCCTCCTCCGACTGTTGATCCAGCCAAAAGCATTAACTTACCATCGAGAGTACTAAGAATTCCTCCAGATTCATACATTTGGTCCATAGACGAGCCTTCTATAGAGGTATAATCTTTTGAAGTAAAGTAACTGCCTTTCTCTAGAACGATGACTTTGTGGCCTGAGTTTGCGAGCACAGAAGCAGCAACTCCACCGCCACAGCCTGAACCGATAATTACAGCATCACATTGGATGGTGTAAACGTCCTTTTGCATGCTATCTTCAATCACCTTTAGGCCTTTTTGTGTTAGTGATTTGAAAAGGGATGAGTTGGTGGTTTGATCAGTTGCTTCTATAATGCCCTTTTCAAGAGGCCTCTCTGTTTCTGGCTTAAAAGGTTTTTCTCGAGTTGGTAATTTATATCCAATTGCATTCCATGTTGGGTTTTCTGAGTTTTCATTAATCTGTAACAAAAAGAGGATGCCGGTATCAGAGTGTGCATTAGTTTCACAAACGGTCAAATGTAGTTCAAAATTTTAACCAAAAAAGAAAAAGAAAAAGGAAAAAAGGGGAAAAAGAATGGGGGAGAAAAAAAAAAGAGCTGCAGTCATAACTTCTTTTGAGCATTGACTGGGTTTCATAGTAAGATCTTACATGAATTGTACAGATTAACAACTTAAGAAAGGAACATGGGGATCCCTAGATTTTCTTTTGGCTTAATT